GTAGTGCAATAGAAATAATAAAACATCTTATTTTAACAAACAATAGAAAACAGTGTCTTTGAGAACCAAAGAATAGAGGCCTTGTGGTATGAAAACACTTCCAGCAGGCTGGAAAATAAAAGATTTTCTGTATCTAACCTCTTTTGGGTATTACATTTCCTTGTAATTTTTCAGTGCAATCTGACCACTAACAAGTTGTCATCTTATTTAAGATGATGTAAAATAATTGTCAAATAAATTTTTCTGCCTCATAATATGAATGAGTGTGGCATTTCAAAAGCATGGTGTGAACCCCATTTTCTACACCACCATGCCATAACATGAAACTAGTAATAACAATCCCAGCAACACAATCATTTTAGGTCAGTCACACTGTACCTCCTTTTAGAGGTGGTTATTTTTAAATTGTAACAACCTGAACATAGAACCGGTAAACAATTAGTACTTATGAATGACCTCAGCAAGTCTGCAAAAATAAAACCTGAAATTGCCACTGAAGTTCTGTAACTACTGCAGAAGCCTTCCACTGGTGCACATGCTCCTTCATGATTACGGCTGCAACTTTGGTTTTAACCCTTGCAACCTGAACTGAAGCTGCAGTCAAGAAAAGAACTCCATGTAATCCCATAAGGGTGTTTCTGCACAACTGATATTAGGACCTGAATCTTGAGCTGCTTGAAATGCCCAGTTTATTTTTCCATGGCATCTATCTGATCTGTGGAAACCATGCCGAATGTTTCATTGGCTTCAAAATTAGCAGGTTCTGTCTCTAAAGTCAAGGCACAACAGAATGATAAAATAATTCCGATAGTGGATTCCTGCCATTCTCAAAATAAAGTATTTCACCAGCATTCAAAATGTTGGTTTTCATTTGTTTTGGTTTTTTTTTGGTCAACTACTCTCACCCTGGAGGAAGGAAAGAAAAGAAATTTAAAACTTTAATAGATTCTTGGGCCAATCTCCAGCATCAAAATGCAGTTGTTCGAAGTCTAAGTTGAGGAGTCATGAAAGCTTTATTATTGCTGTTTATGGTAGTGCTCTCTATATTCCAGCTGCTTTCTACATATTTAAGGACTGTCCTGACCATGGTGCTCATAACCCTTTGTTTCTACACAAATACCAAAAAGTCAGTCTTATCACTCTTATTACAGTAAGAGTTATGGCCACATGAAGTACCCGAAGACTTCTGTATGTGCATCTAATCACAAAGGGCTTGTACTTTAACTATAGCAGAACAGTATTTGTATACAAAGACTGAGGACTTGAGGCTTTGAGATGAAAAAGCTCAGCCTTGGTGACAAGTATGAAATGAATTGTTAAAACAATATTCTGACATGACGTTTTTTAGGGACTTAGGGACTCTAGTGGTAGGACAACGGGTAATGGCTTTAAACTTAAACAGGGGAACTTTAGGTTAGACATAAGGAAGAAGTTCTTCACAGTGAGGGTGGTGAGGCACTGGAATAGGTTGCCCAAGGAAGTTGTGAATGCTCCAACCCCGGAGGTGTTCAAGGCCAGGTTGGACAGAGCCTTGGGCGACATAGTTTAGTGTGTGGTGTCCCTGCTCATGGCAGGGGGGTTGGAACTAGATGATCTTAAGGTCCTTTCCAACCCTAACTATTGTATGACTCTATGATTCTATGTACCAAGAAAAACTTTCAAACTGACATCTTTTTTGCTTTAGTGTTAAAATAGCCTGAATGCCTCATCTGGTCATGAAACTGATCCATCCTGTGCCATTTTCACACCTGCTCCTCCTAAGATGCAGCCCATATTTATTCAAATTTCTCCAGATTTTAAGTAGATAAATCGCCATATTATTATCTCACAAAGCCCTTCTGGAACAGGACAAAGAAACAAGTAATATTTGATATCTCACATTTTCACCACAGGTGGAGCTTTCATTTTTTATTCAATTCATAATGACTTTAAAATCAAATAATATGTATTAAGATGAATACTTTATACCTCACAAACTCAAAACTCCAGAGTTTCAGGTACGAATAGGACCATGACATTTTATCCCAATATTCCACTGTATGTAAACAATAAAACCTAGGCCACCTTTTTTTCTTACTGACATCAGTTGCAAAGTTCCCAATGTTTTTAATGACTGCTTAATTAGTTCCATCTTCATTTTTAAGTGTGGCTCCTTCCTGTTGGCTCTACTAATGTTTACACACATCTTATTTGTCTCACACGCATAGGATCCAACTGTGTTAAACCTGACTGATCTCAGAACATGACTGAGCCCACATCTGTAGAGAAATACCGATGCAGATATTGTTTATCAACCTTCCTCCACTCAGTTCTTCACAGGACAATACTAGAATACCTTACAGCATCTGCTTTTACTACTTAACCAGGACAGGCTACTGATGGCTGAAGCCATGTCTAATGCATAAAGCTATTTAGAATTGGACCCATTATTTATCCTGAGTGAGGAATTACTTTCTGCAAATCCTTTAATGTCTTCATTTTTCTCACATCTACCTAACAATACTCTCAATTATCTGTGGCTTTCTAATAACTGCTTAACTTTCTGCAAATGCCTTAACAATCAGTTTTGCTGTGATAATAGTCATCAAGCACAGACTTATAAATCAAAATGGAAGAACCACCTTAAAATCCAAGAATTGTTCAAACGTGCTGTGGGGAATGGAGCTTCCTCAATCCACTGTGACAAGAGATATTGCAGAAATACTCTGCCAAAAATGGCTTCTAATGCTATCAGTCAGTTTTAGGATGAGCAAAACTGGACAATATATTCATATACATACATGCCCATATATATGAACACATGGACTTGTAAATTGGTACAGTTTATCGCAGCTACAATTCCATTGCAACATGCAATTTCTCAGTTTATAAAATGTAATTACTCATAAGAACACTATTATTACATCTTTTCCTTCCATGCCAATTTCCCAGTCAGACCAAGACGCACATGTTGTAGGCTAAAACTGAAAAAAACTTTTACAGAAATATAGAGACATTTTATTTCCAAAGGAAATGAACTATAGGTCCTGAACACACTCCTAGATACACATAAATAAGCTAAGCCAGGCATCCATGCAGTATCCAGTCTAGCTGCAAAATGGCCTAGCAATTAGAATAAAAATTAAACTAGAAAAAATCCACCCTGAGTATAGAGGCTAATTCTAGGCTGATCTGCAAATCTGTGAACCTACATTCCCATCTTACTTCCTTATCAGTTGAAAACATACCACCAACACCCAAACGCCTGTTCCTAGAGCCTGCATGTAACAGTTCTACCCATCTGAAAAGGGTGTCAGACAAATCGAGTTACCACAGAAAAGAACAAACTACACTTTAACCCACAATGATGACTAACCGGGTATTTTTATTGCCTCCAACCCCCTTCGCGGTGGTAACGCACACAGCCGGCGTCACCGTCATTCCACGCCCACCCTCCCACCAGCAGAGCCTGCAGCTCCAGCAGGGCCTTGCGCCGGGCCTGGAGGCAGCAGGACCCCTCCCGGGCAGGCAAGCCAAAGTCTTCCGGACTATGTACACTATGTGCGCAGAGAGGCCTCTGCGGCCGGACCGACCCCATAGAGCCGAGCCCCCAACCCGCGGAACCGCATGGCTCATACACCGCCCACAACCACCACACCACCCGCCCACCGCGCATGCGCACGCAGTACGGCGGCTGCGCTCCTGTCAGCGTATGCCACGCCTCCTCGGGACCCCGAGCCAATCATGGCGCCCAGCAGCCGGAT